TTCAAACTTTGAAAGAAAATATCTGCAATTACCTATCTAATCCATATTACAGAATAAAAATAAAAAACATTTTCATCAATTTTAAGTGTAATACTATTGATCAAAGTTTGGAGAAACTTAACTGCTAAATTTGTTTTAATAATCGCCTAAATTCTTTTTAACTTTGAACAATAATTTCTTGGTAGCAAAGTCAGTAAAGTTTATTTATATTACTTCAATGAATTCATAGATATACATGGGTATTTAAATTATTTTGCCATTGTTATAAATTTAAATGGCTAAATTATTTTAGATTGTCTAAATCATAAATAATATAGAGTATCAAAAATAATTTAGGCTGCAAAAATTATTTTAGTAGGCCAAATATATTTTAGATTGTCTAAAATATTTTAAATATTTAAAATATTTATGCCATTTCAAAATATTTAGAATGCCGAAAATTAAATAGTAATATTTATCTGGATATTAGTAAACAAATATCTGAATAAATTCAGATCCAGACTGTATAAGATCATTCTAACAGCTTATTATAATTATTGTTAGGATGAAAAAGTTATTACTCTAGCAGCTCTTTATGGTTAGTGTTAGGATGTGAAAGTTTGTATATAAAATTATTCTAACAGTTCTTTATGATTAGTATTAGGATGAGAAAGTTTGTATTATCTAATAGCTTTTATGATTAGTGTTAGATAAGAAAGTTTGTATTATAAAAAATATTCTAACAGCTCTTTATAGTTAGTGTTAGAATGAGAAAATTCATATTATAAAATAATTCTAACAGCTCTTTAAAGTTGGAATTTAATAATTTGATTATGGATGTTTGTACCATATATTAAAATTCTATAAAGAATATATATATATATTGCTGATATGTCCATCTTTTTAATAATATATCTAATTCACAAAATTTATATATGCAATATTAATTATTCAATATAGTGCTTAAAATAATCTTTATATTAATCTTTAACTCAATAATAAAAATAAAACCATGCACTAATACAATATAATATGTACAATATTTATTAATTATTGCTGTTTTATTAATTTTTTTTTTGGTGATAGACTTTTAATATAAGAACTAAATAAATTTCTATAATTGTTTTGTCTGTTTTGCCTTTGTTATTATATTTATGATATGTATTTCAATAATACTGTATAAAAGAGCTGTGTTGCAGACTGATGCATTAAAGATCAAAATTTTTAATATATAGATTTTTATTTTTATCTTATTTTTTTTTTTAAAAAAAAACATTATTTTTAAAAAAAAAATTAAAAAAATTAAATTACTAGTAGAGTGGCCATGATACAAAAAGCAGTCTATGGTTATGCGTAGTATGGTCATTCATATTAAATCTTATTTTCTGTCTATCAGTATCAACTAATCTAAAGCATGACAGAGATGGAAGAATAACAAAATAAATATTTAATTGGAAGCCTGTTAACAAAGTGATAGGGTGTAGATTATTGTGAGATCAGATGACTTTATTTGGTTTAGAGTTGGGCACTGAAATCTGAAACCTTTCAAGACCTTAAAATTAGAATATTAATAACTAATGCATATTTACTATAAAGTAATCAAAATATTTCTGAAATGCAATCTAATTATTATGTACTTTATGTTTTAAAGTCTAAAATTACAATTTTACTTCTTTTAGTATAGAATAGAGTTTCAAAAAAGGTTTTAGAATTTTATATATAGTTTTGGGTTTTATTACCTAACTCTAATTTGGTCACATGTTTAAATTTGTTTATCCTTTGGTTTGTTACATATATCTTGTTAGATACTAATTTTTTTAGTAATTGTTAGGCTGAGTATTGTATGTATAGGTGGCTCAGATATAAATCAATAGGCTAGGAATAATAGAAGGTTTATTTTTACATGTTAAAGTTAATACAATAAATCAGCATTTGATAATTAAGAGTATTTAAGCTATATTGTGTTATATTAAAAGATTCATCTTTCTCATTGCTATTACTTACCTTAATATAGAGGCTAGCTCTGTCATCTCTAACTCTTCTCCAGATTTTCTGTTTTTTAGATAAGTCAGGCTCCACAGCTACAGTTATAGTACAAGGACCTGAAGTAGTAAATGTTAGGCTCCATGGCTGCAGAAGCAGGCAAGAAATTTATTTTTTTCTTATATATGGCTTTGTAGCTGCAGCAGTACTAGGTCTAGATATTTTCTTTTTAGCTTTGGCAGCAGTATACAGTACAAGGATCATGTTTTTTGATATTTAGGCTCTATAGTAACAAGTAGTACAAGGCCATGTGTTTTTTCATATTTAGACTCTATGGCTGCAAAGGCAGTACAAAGATCTTTTTTAGCATTCATTGCCTTTATATTATTTAAAGTACATTAGCAGCAGTATTCTGATTCTCATTATAGCTATATAAATAATAAACTGCCTTTAGATGCAAAAATTGAGTTGTAATTGTAGTAAATTAGTAATTTTTTTTTTATTTAAAGAATAGTAGATTTCTGTTTCATTATATATATGTTACTGATAATTTAGTAGTTTTTTTACATTTTCTGTTAGTATAAGCTAGAGCCAGTTGGTGATAGCAGATCTATTCCTATATATTTATTCAACTCTTTGTATAGTGTGGAATAGCAAGAGACATTCAATATCTATTGATAAAACTTTAAAGTGGTATAACTTTTTTAAAACAAGCTAAATCAAAAAACCCTCTGACAAATTGATAGATTTTTAGATAAACTACAATTCTGTCAGAGAATTTTTTTATTCTTTATTTTAAAAAAGTTATAAAAGATTAAAGTTTATATAAGTTCAAAAAATTGGTGTTTAATATAAAAAAAAGAAAATATATATAGGTTTTTAACCAATTAAAATTAATTATTCAAATTTAGCCAATCAGAATTGATTATATAAGTACCAAAAATTAGTACCTATATGTATAGATTAGATGTTTCTTGCTGTTCTACAATGTAGTAATAATATCTCTAATTGAGCAATAATAAAAAACATATACTGTATATATGTAACAATAATGAATAAGTCACATAAATTTAAGCAATCACATAATAGAAGAAAAACAAAATAAATATTTAACAAGAGTATAAAAGGCTTGTATATCATAACAAATACTAATATATAGTGAATAAGCTCCATGCAATAGCAAAGATGGTATAATTAGAAATGGGAAAAATGTATATTTTATAATAACATGCACATGAATATGCATTAATGTGCACATTATATAAAATGTGCATAATATCGCAGGATATAATTTTTTTTGATTTTATATTTTCTTTCCGGAAAATATCAGATATTTGCCAAAGTTTTTTTGATCTTCTTATCTTTATATTTATTTATTTTTTTTCAGACTTTTTCAAAACTTCTGCATTCCTATTTCTTAATTTTGCCTAGCATTAAATATATTTTAATTTTCCTATATAAAATTTAAATGAGATAAAATGCACATGATTAAGAAATTTTGTGCATGTATAAAACTTATCTCTAGGTATAATCTTCTACAAAATGTGCCATAAAAATATAAACAAATTTCAATTAATACTGAAATTCAAAAATTTTATCTTACTATTATTTAAACTTTTCAGTATTACTTTATTTATATTTACATATAATAATATTTTCAATTTAATAATATTATTAATATTGGCAGTCTATTCTTTAAACCGTCTAGTAGCCAAATATGGCTGCTAGAATGTCTTTTCTTTATTTTTTACAATAATATAAAATTTTATTAAGTATATGCCCCTATTTCTAAGCTAAAATAAAAATTTAAGTTATTTTTAATTAATATTAAGTAAAATTTTTTATTTAATTTAAATAATATTAAAATTATTTAGTTTGAAATATAGCCAATTCTATAATTTTACTATTAAATTTTTTTATTAATTTTTAAATTTTTATATGTTTTTGTCTCTAAAAAAAATCTTTGCTATTATACAAAGTTGAAATTTTATTATTTTTTAAACCAAATTCTTTAATTTACATCAGAATTATATGGGACTTATATTTAGAATTTTTTTTTTTTTTATAACTTTGCCAGATATTTATTTTAGTAATTATTCATGTATACAAATGATACTAGCTAACTAACATAGATGGTAAGTGATAAACTCTAAGCCTGTTGGCAAATAGCATATGAGAACTATTTCAAACGACAGGTGCCGGTATCATAGAACTAATTATTACTAAAACACCTGACCCCACTCAGTTGCTTTACTAAGCCGTAGATGTGATAGCTGCACCACATTTATCGTGGAACTGCACCGAATCTCAACATTGAAGCCGGTGACTAACTTTTTGCTAAAGTATATGTCCCACTCATGTATTTACCCAGGCTTTGGTAACCTACTGCCACAGCTTGACCTATGCACTCAGGGTCAGGGCTAACTATTAAACCCCTATCTAACTAGTACCAATTATGCTGCCGTAACCAAGTTTGTATCTCAAGCCACCCCAAAGTAGGGTGCCTGGCACAGGTAAAAAATTTGGCATGCCATTCACTAAAATTTGTACCTGGCATGCCACCCCAGTCATGCCACGGGTATTACACAGACATATTATGAGATCAGTTTTAGTAATATGTAGCATACGTACGTATGTATTCTTACTAATTAATAGATTATCTTTATTAATAAAAAGAGGCTCTTTTTATACATTCTCGCTGCCTTATAAGTTACTGCTCTTATATCCTTATAACTTTACTTTATTCATGTCCATTTCTCATAATCGTTGTTTTATTATACTAACATATCAACGCATAAAAGTAAATTTAAAAATCACTGTGCACGATTTTACTAAAAGCTCACTTTAAATAGGTCGAATAAAGATTAAATAAGTTTATTAAAAAACTTGCGGACAGAACGGATCATTTTGTGATTTCAAATTACTTACAGAATAACCAATACAGAACTTTTTTTTTCTTTTTTTACATTTTTTCTTTTTTTTTTTTTTTTTACTTTTTTTCTTTTTTTTTTTACTTTTTTTTTCTTTTGATTTTGACTCTAAAATTTACTATTTAATACGAATAATGCCTTTTACTTATCAATTTTAACACCCAATCCCTGAATAATAACAATATACAATCTGTTAGACAATATATGTCTGCCGATTTTGATAATTAATATACTAAAGCCGAAAGATATCATCAATTGACCAATCTTCATTGATGACGGTATTTTCTTGGGGATGGAAACCTTCTTCAGTTGTAGTTTGTTCTTCAAAGGTTCTAATATCGAAAAATTCCTCCATTACTAGATTATCGTTATCCATATTAATATCTTCCGGTAATTTAACATCAATTTGTAAAACTTCATCTCCATCAAATTCTTCAAAAAGAATGTCAATACTGATATCTTCCAAATTTATATTACTAGAAGTTGATGATTCTTGATTTTTCTGTTTAATTTTTTTTTTTAATATCTCAGGCACTCTTTGTTGAAGATCATGACGGAGCATTCCGATCATTCCTATTTGGGCAGGAGACATTCTATTTCTTAACTTTGTTTTTACCAAACCTAAACTAGAGAACAGATGCTCGACAGCCACTGCATGTGGAACAATTGCAAAGATCTTCATTGCAAATCATCGAAGTAGTGGAAAGCCTCCACAAAACTGCGTCCAAAAAACTCTTGGATTAGGATTCAAACCAAATTTATCATTTTTGTAATTTATAAATTCTTGATATAAAAAGGTTGCATCTTTCTTATCAAAACCCCAGGTTTTTGCTAATTCCAATATAGCTCTAATAATTGTATTTCCAGACATTTTTTTTGAAATTGCTATATTTTGTATTTAGGTGACAAAAAAAGAGCAATGAAATAAATGCTATCAGAGAACTCACGAGCACGCTTATCAATAAATATTGGAATATCCAAAGATGAAATAGTATGATAAATATTTATTAACTCTGTAAAGATATCGGCTAATGTAGCATCTCTCAATTCAAGTCGACCGATAGCATTTACAATAGGAATAAGTACTGTTACTAATGTGTCGTTATGGGCAAAATGATGACGATTGCTAACTATATCTTGAATTTCTTTTTTAATTGTAGGATAATTATTAGTTTTACTAAGTGCAATACAATGTTGAAACCCTCTTTCATATGCTTTTATTCCGAGGCAGACTTTTGCAAGAGAGTATCACCTGGTTTCGCAAAATGATGTAAGTATATGGTTTAACCATTCTTTTTTTCCCCAATCTTGTAATGCTCGGAACCAAATATAAGAGGATGTGAAAAAATTTACGAGTTTTTGATTATTTTTAATGACTGAAACTAAAGGTGGAAAACCAGAAGCATCTTTCGCAAGCAAATTAAAGGAATGAAGACAACACCGAATAGGAATAATGTTCGGATATTCATCTTTAAAGTCATTCTTTATTTTGACCATAACTGAAGGGTTATCAGTCATGCATGCAATAATAGAATCAGTAGTAACTAAATTTGATTTGAGAACTTTCTCTAGCTGCTCTTTAAGAAATATTGCCATATGCCGACTTGATGACAAATCAACAATACTCCTTATCCCCTTTTAAGACCATAAAACCATAAACTGAGTTTCTGGATATGTCTTGCCATCCGTCCAAAGCAATAGTAATGTCTGTAAGTGACTTCATTAATTCAAGCTTATTATCCAAGTAGATTGAAAATGAATTATTAAGAACGTTGATTCTTAATGATTCAGCGGAGGGTGGATCATAACCTGGTGCCAACTCATTAAGAAATTTACGAAAATAAGGATTCTCAATAAACCTAAAGGAAATGTTACCATAAATAATGGCATCAAGTAATTTTTTGTTAACTTCTACTCGTTTATCTTGCAACATCGGTTTGACAACCCAGTTTATTAAGTTTTCTTGACGGTTTATTCCTGGAGAGGGCGAGCTATTAATAATGGTGGTATAATTTTATTAGATAAGCTAAAATATTTCGATTTAATAATACAATTGATACTATCTAATTACATATTTCTCAAATCTATAAAAAATTTTAGTGGTATGCATTTTTCTGACCGATATGCCATTTTACCAACTATCAATTCGCCAATATATTTACACAGGCAATTATTTCATTTTATCAACCAAGTAATTCTGGCCATTGTTGTTAGAGTAAGGTTTAGAATTAAAGTTAAGGTTAGTGCAATTTTTAAACAAACTTGTCGGTAAAATGAGCTGCCTGTGAAATAAGCATATTAGCGAATTAATTGTTAGTTAAATAAGGTGCTGGTGACTTGATTGTCAGCGAAATGACATATATTCAAAAATTTTGAGTTTAATTATTAACACAAAAATGGTTCGTATAATTTAAGTGCATATGCTATCTATATGCAAAAATATCTTTGACGGATAGCATACAACTAGACAGTATCAACAGTATTTGCAATTACATACGTTGACTGCTCCTGATCAGAAATAGAACTAGTTTTGAATTTTTTTTGAGAATTAGAACTAGTAACTTTTTTAATATAATCAGATTTATTATCAGCAGACCAACAATCGCATTGAAGAACATGATTATGAAGCCTTTCAGGCCTGCCAGATATTTCTAAATTACAATAGAAGCATTTGGCTTTATATCTATTGCCTCTGACTTTTTCTTCAGAATGCCAAAACCCAGTCCATCGGCTATTATAAGTTGTCATATCAGGAAGAGCAAAGCCTGTAGGAGGTTGGGATTGCATTATAATTTTTTTTTTTTAGTATCTTATGCCTAATTTATTTGTAGGTAAGGTCTTCACGAAAGAAATATTTGAAGGAGGTTTTTCTTAATTTTATATATTTTCTTTTGTTATTATAATATGCGTGGTTCAATTTCAAGAGCATTATTGACGCAAGTGAAAACCTGTAAATCAACATTTTTAGTTTTGCACTTAATTGGGTTATTAGATATCAAGATACTATGATTAAAGGCAACGTTTGATTTACAAGTTTTCTTGGCATTACTTATACGAATCATTATCTCTCTGTCCGCATTTTCACATGCTATTTATTTAGCAGGTAAATTTACCCACTTTACAGATGAGATTATAATGTTTCCATTAATATACTGTATGTCCTTCAGGAACTCGCATTGGATCTCTTGTAATATAGGTGACACCTATTCTAAATCAATTAATTAATAATATATTTTATTAATAGTGCCACCTGTACTGCAAGAGATCCCTGGCATTCTATAACGCAAATGGGTTGTCTACTAAGGGTACTATGTGAAATTTTTGTTTGTTATTTGATAAATCAATTACTTTATTTTTGTATAGCATTGCCTGATCTAATTTTATAGATCTCATTTTCAAATAATGTAAGACTGATAATTCTAAAGAATAATCAACAAGACAAAAGGGCTAACTTGCATTTTTCTCGAGAAAAAAAATTAACATTCGATAGTATGATCCTGTTTATTGCTAAAATTAGTAACCTCTTGATTTCATACATACACTTAAATTGTCCAAGATGTAAACCCGTAATATCTGCATAAATTAATAGTATTTGCATAATGATCACACGCCTAATAATTTAAGTAATAAACTGTTAATTTATAATTTCACCTTCTCACACATTCCTAAGCATCTCATTATTGAATATTTAATTTAGTATTTTCTTCTTCAGAAGGAACCGTTTGATTGGAATTTAGAAGAAATAATTAGGTCAATTTTGATCTTATGATTGTAAATTGTGGCTCAGTAATTACTTGATAAAACAAGATTTCCATATGCCAAGAAATTATAAATGATAAATAAGCAATTGTAGATGGTGATACATATTATTTTAGTTAGTTTATTTGCGATGATATCTTTACAACGAGTTGAACTCTTCCCGACGATTATTTGGTCCAAATTTCCTACGAAAGAAAAGTCGTGTTTTCTTGCTAGAGATAGGTGCTGGGGTCTAAGTAGCCCTAAAAGCAGGACGGTTTTTATAGAGTTTAACTGTTTGCTACTGGGGACTCCTCTATATATTCAGCAAGCAAACCAAAAGCGTCGGTATACAAGATAACTGGCAGAAAGTAGTGCCCTTGTATATGAAATTTTGGTGGATAGGTGGAGGTGA